CCGCTAGATGGTAAGCCGGGGTGTATCAATTTTGAGTAAACTGGCGTCCTTAAATTTCGCAATATGGCAGTTTCAGGCATTTCTGAAATTTACCGTTATATGAAAAGCGGCCGTAATTTTAGTCCGATTTCAATAATTTTCAACGTTTTGCTTTCATGTGGCAAGCACAATAAAAATACCGATATACATATATGTGGTCATAAGTGGGCGGTGCCACGCCCATTTTCCAAAATTTTACCATAAACGTATTTCTTGGTAAAGAATTGTTGCAAGCATCAATTTTGAATAAATTAGCTTTAATATTTACTGATTTATCGAAGATTTTGTATTTCTCTAAATTACCGTTATATGGGATGTGGGCGTGGTTATTGTCCGATTTTTAAAAGTTTCGGCGGTTTTTTATGCTGTACCAAGGCCAACAACTGTGCCAAGTTTGGAAGAAATTGGTGCAGCGGTTACCAAGATATACACATGTAACCATAAGTGGGCGTGGCTACGCCCATTTTCCAAAAATTTATAATATTCTTATTTTTCGTCTAAAACTTATTATAAATATCAATTTTGAGTGAATAATCTCCAGTAGTTACTAAAATATCGCAGTTTTCGTATTTCTGAAAATTACCGTTATATGGGAAGTAGGCGTGGTTATTGAGCGATTTTAAAAATTTTCGGTCATTTAGTATGCTGTACCCAGGTCAACAACTGTGCCAAGTTTGGAAGAAATTGGTGCAGCGGTTCCCAAGATATACACATGTAACCATAAGTGGGCGTGGCTACGCCCATTTTCCAAAAATTTATAATATTCTTATTTTTCGTCTNTTGTATTTCTCTAAATTACCGTTATATGGGATGTAGGCGTGGTTATTGTCCGATTTTTGAAATTTTCGGTCATTTAGTATGCTGTACGCAGGTCAACAACTGTGCCAAGTTTGGAAGAAATTGGTGCAGCGGTTCCCAAGATATACACATGTAACAATAAGTGGGCGTGGCTACCAAAAATTCCAAAAATTATATAATATTCTTATTTATCGTCTAAAAGTTATTTGTAAATATCAATTTTGAGTGAATTATCTTCAGTAGTTACCAAAATATCGCAGTTTTCGTATTTCTGGAAATTACCGTTATATGGGAAGTGGGCGTGGTTANTTATTTGTAAATATCAATTTTGAGTGAATTATCTTCAGTAGTTACCAAAATATCGCAGTTTTCGTATTTCTGGATATTACCGTTATATGGGAAGCGGACGTGGTTACAGTCCGATTTCGCCCATTTTCGATACCAACTTACCTTGGATTAATGTAAACCTACATACCAAATTTCGTTGAGATATCTCAATTTTTATTCGAGTTATCGTGTGCACAGAGGGACGGACGGACGCACGGACGGACAGACAGTCACCGCTTAATCGACTTCTCGATTCATTCTGAGCATTTATGTATACATTTGTCTATATCTATCTCGATTCGTTTTGNCGATTTCGCCCATTTTCGATACCAACTTACCTTGGATTAATGTAAACCTACATACCAAATTTCGTTGAGATATCTCAATTTTTATTCGAGTTATCGTGTGCACAGACGGACGGACGGACGCACGGACGGACAGACAGTCACCGCTTAATCGACTTATCGATTCATTCTGAGCATTTATGTATACATTTGTCTATATCTATCACGATTGGTTTGACTATTACAAACAACCATTATGTGAACAAAATTAATATACCCATGTGCATAAGTGCGCTCGGGTATAAAAAATATATATTTCGACGAATTGGTAACCTCCTAATTTTTTTGAAGTCGGTTAAAAATATAAATAATCTAAACCTCAATCTCAGGCGCAATTCGTATCTATTTATATCCTTATCTGTGTTTACATCTTTGTGTTTGTTTCTATGTTTATGTTATTCTTCATGTTCTCCTATAACTTCATCTTCATCTCCCCCTTCGTCTTTATCTCCATCTTCATATTCATGGCCATCTCTTAGCTTTCCCTCATCTTCATATTCATCGACATCTTCTCCTTAACCTCCTTTTTAATCTTTGTCTGTATTTTACAACGCTTTTTTCAACTGGCAATGTTGTATGGCCAGACCACCATTTATACTATAAATATAGCAAAGGTATTTATGGCAATTGTACTAAAAGTCATTATAAACACTTTATAAGTTTGAAAATGAAAAGCGCGGGGCGCATGTAACAGACCGGTAGTGATATGAAAAGCAATATATGTATGTATGGATGTGGGCATATGAATAACGACCGCTTATACGATGTTTCCACGCTTCGAAATTCACTCTCTAAGTAATTCGCTAAGTAATTCGTGAATTATCCTGTTTCCACGCCACATATTAGTAATTCGTTTGGCAGCTATAGTTCTTGCTCTNAACAGACCGGTAGTGATATGAAAAGCAATATATGTATGTATGGATGTGGGCATATGAATAACGACGGCTTATACGATGTTTCCACGCTTCGAAATTCGCTCTCTAAGTAATTCGCTAAGTAATTCGTGAATTACCCTGTTTCCACGCCACATATTAGTAATTCGTTTGGCAGCTATAGTTCTTGCTCTTGTTCTTCGCTATTTATTATTATTTTTGTGTACTGCAAATATCGAATATGGAGCTAAAATTTATGTTATCATCAACAATTGTAATATATATAGAGAAAATTGTATTATTAGTATTATTCTACAGCTAGAAAAAGTGCCAGCAAATGGGACCAGGCCGGTGAAAACTTCGATATATTTTCGATAAATATTAGAGACGGCATCGATTCGTTCGTCATTCGCATGATAATTCGATCTGAATTACCTACAAATGAGGTAATTCGCTCTCAAAATTACGTAATTCGGAAGGTAAGTCGATTTAAAAAAAGCTAACAGCTAAACGCAAATTTCTACATCTTAACGCCGAAAATAACAGATATGTTCACGTTGAGCCTCGAGTTAATGGCTTTATGGGCGATTTTGAAGTTTACCATACAAACGATTTTCGTTAAACTTCTCCTTAAACACCACATTTAATTAAAGTTTATGGAAATGCAACCCTTTTTGTGGTCGAATTGGGTTTGTGTCTTTCATAATCTAAACCTGCAACCAACTTGCCGACAGTTAGCCTACTCCCGTACTGCAGGATATAATCAGAAATATTTAGGTAGTCCGAGCTCGTTCCGTGCACATAAATCTAGAAAACCAACAATCTAGCTATGCAAAAATCAAAAATGTGGCTCGATAGAACTATCTGTGATGATTTCAACCCTACCAAAATTATTTGGCCGAAGTAAAAAATAAAGAAGGGATCAATGGTTAAAGTTAAATTTTTTGATTTTTTCAAATACTAATATCTTCGCAACAACATAACCTATTAATGACGTCAAAATAAAGGTAATTAGGGGACCTTTCACTTTGTGTACATACTTTTCTCCGTTTTTTGTATTTTTAGCCCAGAAATACCGAATAACCAAAAAAATGTAAATCTTTATATTAATCGCT